TCTAGGCTCGACCAGAAATTTAAGTCTGCGCACGCCTATGCAAATGGGTCCATATAGTTATAGTTAACTGCTACGCACCAACCGAAGATAAGGACGATGAGATAAAAAACATATTCTATGATAGAGTAGATGCAGTGTATGACCATATACCAATGAATAAAGTAAAGTTTCTAGTAGGGGATTTCAATGCAAAAATAGGACAAGAACTAATATCCAGACCTAACGATCGGAGAACATAGCTTGCATGAAAAGACAAATGATAATGGAACTAGGCTAATTAATTTGGCTATGACAAGGAATATGATAGTGAGAACGCAGAACTAAAAGAACTGTTAAATGACACCGACATAGTAGGTGCTCTAAAAAGCCGGAGACTTAGCTGGGCAGGACATGTGTGGAGAGCGAAGGGTAGAGTAGTAAACTAGGTCACAACTCACAATGTGGAAGCCAGATCGGAAAATACCAATAGGACGACCAAGACAGCGGTGGAGTGACCATGTCAAAGAAGATCTGAAACTAATAGGAATCAGGGATGGAGAAACAAGAGCATTGGGTAGAGAGGCATGGTGGAAGCGGCGATGGGTCTAAATGGCCCGGATTGAGCCATAAAAAAAAAAATAGGTACATAATTATAAACGAACATAAAAATGCAACATTTTGTTTAAAATAAAAATCAATAGGGATAATAACGCGAAGTGGTATCCACCTATTAACAGTTAAGGTTAACACACACAATTAATAACATAGGTATGAATGCTGTGCATGTACATAAATACATAATATATAATATTTTAATAATACCTGTTGCTTTGATATAAATAAATATAAATTATATGAAGACACTAGAAGTGTAAACCCAACTCTAATAAGTACTGATCTCTATGTAAACACATTATTAATCCCCCCTCCCCCAAGAAAAAAAAATAATAACATGATAACAATGTAATCGTTAGATTGTTGACAATAATATTACCATTTGGTTAATGGAAGTCGTATTTGCCTGGCGGGCAATGAAACACGTAAATACCTACTGCATTGTGTCTTGAAGTGAAAAATATAATATTCCAAGATAGAAGTTTTCAACAAACAAATTTAAACTTTTCTCAAATCATTATATTCATTTGTTCGCGGATATTTTTTTTTATTTTGCCTCCGTTACTATTGCATTCAGGAGACGCACCCTTGTGGGTCATTTCTCTTTCACTATGGTCTATATAGAGGCAAGTCAAGCGGATGCAAATAAAATATTTCAATTCGAAAATTCGATTCAAATTCAATTCGAAGTGATCTACGTAAAGCCCGTCTCGTGCGTGGTACCCATCTCCGGAGAAGAAATTTAACAAAAATAATTGTTGTCCCCTGCAGATATCTATTCTCGCAGGACCAACAACGACGGTGAAATCGCGTGGGTTTATTGAGCCGGGTCCTTGAATTTAATAACACACAGGGTGATGTTGTTCACCAAGCATGCTCTCTCCCTTTTATTCTCAATTCACGCAGAAGTTATTCAAATTCTGTTTTTTTTTTAAAAATATTTTAGTTAGCAATATAATATACTTAATAACATTTATATAGATAGGTCCACCCACCTACTTGGATTTTTCTATAACATTTAAGGCGTGTCCTCACGTCCTGAGGAGATAGAAACTTCTTTTTTTTTTCAAACAAAGCAGTAAAAAGATAATTTTTTTATTGTAAATTGTAGTTTTTTTTTTTAATGTTGATACGTCTAAATCAACAAAACGAGTACCTAGGTCCAATGGTGATTGGAAGTTTCAGAATTAATACTATAGGTACCTACTTTATCTCTATGTATGTACCTATACTAAGGATAATAATGATTTTACATCCAATATAAAATAGATAGTACAAATAATACTTATTTAGCCTTGTATAAAATGTATCTATTTATTGTTAATCAATTAAAATAAATAATTGATTATTATCAAATAATTAATGACAACTATATACCTAGGTTTTAGTATCTATATTATTTCTAAATAAATAAAATAAAGTATATTATATTAAACTTTTTGGTTGGGCCGAAAACTGAATCAGCCGAAAATGGAAGGATACGATTTCGGTCGAAAAGTGTATCGCCCCTTAATATATATGCTAGTATCGTATACTCAGTAGGTAGGAAAAAATATTCAAAAAATCCTATTAAAAACTGTAAAGTCAGCCCCGATTTCCACAAGTAAGAATGATTGATAGTTGATACCTTATATTATCTATGATCTACCATTAACATTTCATAAAAAGACTAGATATAAGTCATAATCGCATTAGGGGACTTAGCCCAACCCAGTTTTTTAATAGGTAATATTTTAGTTTAAAATATAAATTATCAGGGTCTTTGCAATTTTAGGCCCCCCCACAGAAAATTTCGATAGTTACGTCTTTGATAGGTATTAGGTAATGAAGTATATTTTATGACTTTTGTCCGACGGACTAACAGCTAGTGCGCGCTCCTCGTATGATATTATTACACAGAACTACAGACCTAACCTAACCTACTCTGCGATTATTACCCGGGAGGCTTCAACGCAGATAAAATTAAAATATATGTAGGCATCGAGATTCGAGAGTAAGTATAAGTAGGTAGGTACTAGGTATAGGTACCTATATTAGACGTAAATGATATGTATATAATCAGTGGCGTATACATAACTTTTGTATGGGGGGGGGGGGATCAGTTGCAAACAAATTATTATGGAACGAAAATACCTAAATCTAGGTATGTGCTCATTTAAATACCTAATAAATGATAAAACATATATATATTCAATACATTTTATATTAAATTCTACAAGTAATTATAGAACAAAATTTAATTTTCTTCTTTTTTTTAGTCAATAATATTTATTATTTAAGCAATTTTTAGCTTTCAATGAACAAATTACTGATAGCTATTAGCTAGTATGTTGTAGGTATATCCATGTTAGTTGATAATATACAAAATTGATAATGTTTTGGTATAAATGAGTAAAAACCATCGTGCAATAACCTTATATTATACCATAATAATATTTCATTTTCTAATGTATAGGAAAATGTATTATTATATCGTCTCCACCGCGTTGATATCGGTGACGGTGGCGACGGCCCGTGGCTGGTCCGCCACATATTATTATTCTTATAATAATTTATTATACTTGTATATATAATATACATTATACATATTATCAAATATCACATAATACGATTATATGTAAATTATTTTTAATTAATTGTTGAATATTGTGTTAAAATAAAAATTTACAAAAAATCCTTGCCATTTTTTTTCCTTACATTAAGTCATTAAGAACACTATTTTATAAAATTTAAAAAAAGGCCTATGGGGGTATCTGACCCCCACATCCCCCCCTTGTATACGCCCCTGTATATAATATATCATCGTGAAACGAACGCGCATCGGCTGCGAGAACAGAGATCGCCTAGCCCGATCGCACGTATCAACATCTACCTGTACGGCTATACGACTTACCTGTATACGTAGCTACGGTGCAACATATACGATACATTTATGAGAATTCACTTTCCAGCTAAAGCGAGCCCAGAGGATCGCCATGGGAACGGAGAGAGCACGCGGTGGCGGTCGATGAAAATACCGCGTGGGCGCCCCTTCAGTCGTACAGCCCGCGGGGACCAGACCTTATACGTGGTGGTCTTTGTCTCTGGGTGTCTCCCGGCCCCGCGTTTACAATAATATAATATTATATTATTATATTACTGAGTAATATACTCGTCGCTCAACGAAATTCCAAGATTCTTCAATAAAAGTTAATTAAAAACCTACCCTTAGTGGCATTAACCCTGTTTTAATGCACTAAATTTATTCGCCCACAAGACAAACCACACACATAGACGAGGTCCTTTTTATGCAATATTTTCTTTTTGCAAACCAATTACCATTGGCCTAGTTTTTGAATTCACGTCACATGCTCCGGTCTCTACTTTTATTTATTTATTTACCTATTCTTAATAACTCCAAATGTTGAAGAATAATTTACACCAGTTATAGATGAGTTTTAAATTAACCTATTAGAACTTTAAAACTGTTATTGTCAATGTATAATACAACACCAATGTTCGTTCAACAGTCTTTAAATAAGGAATAAACCGTCAGAGCAGCATTGTTCCAGTTGTGTATGGGGTACCTTCCTTTCATAGACGATGCATCACACCTCCTTCCGACAACTAATGAGTGTGCTAGACATTTTATTATTCGTTAATCAGGATGGTTATCCATTAGTTAAAATAGTTCCCATCCCACTCCTTCCTGTCGTCACTTGAGACAGTTTCTACTACTATTCATATGACAATATTACCTCAAGTTCATAGATGCAAATCATAGGGGGCTTCCCCCCATACAAAAAAAAAAAGTTTTTAGTTGTGTGAGATCATAGTTGAGTTCCATTGGATTGATGTTGAAAATGTTAGTCCCCCCTGAAATTTCAATAGATTCCTGCCTATGCTCAAATTCTTCCTCTTTAATATTCAATTAAAACAATCAATACCCCTAATCACCTTCAAGGCTGTATCCAGTACTTGACTTGGGAAGAAATTAGAAGGGGGGTGAAAGAGCATAATACAATTTGCATAACGAGAATATATAACAACTTATTGATTAGGATATAATTACAAGGAATAAGCATAAATATTTACCTCCAAAAATTAAAAGAATACAATAATTGTTGATAAATATTTAAAAAGGACAAAGAAAAATTATTTGGTCAAAAAATTATTTACTCAACTATTTGGTGAACTCAGTAATACATGATGCTAAAACAATATCATGGTCTTATGAATAGATCTATTACACATAAAAAGTATTCAACATGACACACTGTGCTTGGGGACCAGGAACTTATTTTAATAAAGTTAGGCATTTTGTTAATTAAATTTGAACTGAACAACTTATTAAATAAAAATATAATTAATTACATATCAAATTGTTTAAAATAAATATAATACAAAAAACTAAAGTAAGAAATAAATTAAAATGCGTATCTCGTCCTAATGTCTTCAAGTCTTTTAGACACTTCAGCAGGTGTTTTGTCAAGATCTGCTGCAATGCTTTTCTGTTTTGCAATATCAATAGAATTATATTGTTCACAAAGGTCACCATCACAAACATTCTACATTAAAAAGAGAAAATCAGTTACTAATTATTGTAAAAAAAAATTGTTAATTAATTCACTTACTTTTACAGGGAAATAATAGGATCGATATGATAAATGATCTCTTCCACAAAGTGGTGGGTTCTCAGATCGCATGTGCATTTCAAGATGCTGGAAAAAGTCTTGTTCTTCATGAGCAGTAAATGGCACGAGAACACCAATGGTACCAGTCACAGTAGCATAAACTAGAGACTCAGAACCACCCGGTATCAATGTAGCTTTCTAAAACAAAAATAGGAATACTTATTATTAACAAAGAGTAATGAATACATATTCTGATATTAATTCAAAACTTGAATTGTTAGGAATATGATTGTAATTTATTTTAGATATAAATGATATAAACATTATATCATTAGAGATATTACATTAAAATTCATCAAATTAAAAACAGCGATCATTTTTTTTTTTTTTTAATTTTATACAGACTTAACCTATTAGTAATTATTGATAAATAGTTAGAGCATGTAAGTTTAAGATAACTTAATCTTCAATTAAAAAACCAAAATTTAAATACTCAATAATATAATTTATCATGTAGTATGAATGGACGGTCTAATTCTAAGACAGTTAAATTGGTTTCAAGACTATGTCTTTTATCAACGAATTTGTTTATTTAAAATAAATAATACAAATTGTAAATATTGTATTATCAAATCTATAAATTAATATATACTAAAAATTCAATTTTTATAAAATTGTCTGATCAGCCATAATAAAAATTAATCATTTACAACTCATAAGTCTAACGTGTGCAAAATATTAACATCATCTCAAACAATTTTTTTTATATTTATCAAATGAAATAGTAAATTAAAGACAAACAAAGGGTACAAAAAATAGAAATACAAATTATATGGATATTTTTAAATTAAATTAACGTATTATATTACATACTTGTATTGAAGTACAAATTTCTCCAATATGGAAATTCACAATGAAATCAGCTTTTTGGGAAGCTCCATTAAGTAAACCACGATCCCACAGGCTTTTATTACCGGTTGGATCATCATCAACTTCATCGGATATTGATGAAGCTAAGCGAACCTAAAATTGTTTAAGCTTAAATTATTATTTTTTTTCCTTTCACTTTTCACATGAATATATATGGTCTAATTTCTATTAAGTTATTAAATTAATATAAACTAATAAATTATTTTTTATAAAATTGTATTGTCTGATCAGTCATAATAAAAATTAATCATTTACAACTCATAAGTCTAACGTGTGCGAGATATTAACATCATCTCAGACATTTTTTTTTATATTTATAAAATTAAATTAAAAACAAACAAACAAAGGGTACAAAACACCTATATTATAGAAATACAAATTACATGGATATTTTTAAATTAAATTAACATATTATATTTCATACTTGTATTGAATAGAATTTAAAAAACGTACCACTGAAATATTTCCACATTTGTCAGCTGTGGCAACTGTATTGTAATCAAGTATTTCCATAGCAGTAATATATCTAGGTTGTGTATCATCAGCAAAAATAATTAATTGATTTTCATTACGCTTATATCGAACCATATATACACTTTCTTGAACATCACTCACATATATTCTACAGCCCATAACACGAATTCCCATTATTAATAATGGAATTTGCTGTAAGATAGTAACAATTTAATAAATATTTAACAAAGTAGTAAAATAATTCATAAATATTTACTTACTTTATTTTCACATTTCCGTAAGAGTTTCTTTTTACCAATATCGTAAAGTCGTAAAATTCTACCAATACCAATTATCACACGTCCCTGGAATCCACATATTGCAGTTGGTACATTATCAACAGTAGTCTTATGGACCAGTTCCAAAGAAGTGCACGTTGGGTTAACTCTGAAAACAACAATATATAATATAAAAATAAATATTAACCAAGAATAATAGAACAATATTATTGTTAAGTAAAATCTGATGTATTTATTTAGATATTTTAATTTGTTTTAAAACATTCATTTTAACTTACTTATAAGTGTAAATGTATCCACAGGTAACATGTCTTGGGTTCAGGTGAAGTTCATTTGCAACACCAAAAAGAACAAACTGTGAATCTGGATAACTTGAAAAACGTACTAGAGCAACGCTGCAAAATACAAAGACATTAATCAACAAGAAAAAAACCATGAATATGTAACATATTAAATTAAATATAAACCTCATTACTGCTTCATTCTGAGGGAACCTATAAACAGCTTCTGTTATGCCTTGAACTGGATTAAACAATCTGACTAATGATGCCCACATTCCAGGACCAGCTTTAGGAGCACCAAAAATATTTTCTGGTAAATCTTCATTCAAAAAAGCTTCAGCCATTTCCTTGGCTAATTCTTGTTCTTCCTCTCCAGCAGCTTCCTGCATTTCTTCTGCCATTTGTATCCGCCTCTGTTTTTTGGTTTGCTCAGTGTATGCATTGTGTTCAGTTTCAACCACAATTAAATGAGCAGAATCAGGGTGAATAACAAACTTTCTGGGCGTATATTCAACCGGGAATGAAACTTGGTTGAAAACAGCACCCAATTTTTCTAATGCCAAAATGCGCAAGGTATTACCAGATATAGCAACTATGCCTTCGGGACACTGTTCAGAAGAGAAACCAGATGCATATTCCAAACTTTCATATGACAAAGGAGTAAGGTGAAAGCGATTTTGGTAATAATAACTGAGCCATGATCTACTTGACATGGCAAGTACCTATAAAAAAAATATGAACATGATTAAAACAACACGTCTTGTAAATCATAATTTGTTAAAGGTACTACAACTTACTGCTTCATTTCCCCTGGTTCTAATTTTAAATAGTTTTACAGGTTTGCCTCCTAAGTAACGGGCTCGAGTATCAGCCATTTCTCCAGTAACACCATCCAGTACTGTACGAAGTAAAACACCATTTTGTAAACCAATGTTCAAATACAGCATTGAAAGTGAATTCATTGCCGGTTCATCTGAAGAACCGCCATCACTAGCGCCCATTTCTACAATACATAACGATTCTGGCATGGCCGGTATAGCTTGCATTTTTAGTTGTACTAAACAGTCCTTTAAATACAAAATTAATATTTAATATTACAATATTAGAAACAAGAACAAAATAAAAACTTACTGTAGTATCTAAAGAAATGATACGGACAGTTTCATCAGTCAAACCAACAGCTAAAAAGCGTGACATCTGTTCTCCAGACGGGGCATTTGCTAATGCCATACAAAGAACATCAGAATTCATTTCTTTACGATCTTTATGTTCATTTAAATGTCCAGTCTAGAGATAAATATGTCAATTATCACTAATATTATATACAACAAAATATTTAAGAATCAAATATTAATATCAAAAAGCAAAAAAAAATGTGTAAACATGGTTCACTTCAATGAGCATATATCGGCTATTAGAAGGCGACATATTTGCTATTTTATCTAGCATCAATTTTATAAAATTTTGTAATTATCCAATTTAAAATAAATAATTCAAATGTATAATGCACATGACCTCAATTTATTTAAATGTAATTGTATAATTTTTGATTGTATGGTAAATGTACAAACATGGTTCACTTCAATGAGCATGTATCGGCTTTTAGAAGGCGACATATTTGTTATTTTTTTTTAGCATCTTTTAAAATAATTTATTTGAAACATTTCATTAAATTTAATATTTCATATTATTAATGATGCAATTAAATTAATAAATATAAAATAGCCTAAATGGTCATACTAAAATTCATAATATATTAGTATGCCTAAATTGTTTAACTTTTTACAGTTATTATGGGCATAACTATCAGTAAATTATGTGATTATTTTATGGTATACACATGAATTATTGTAGAGTATACTGTGTTTTATTTAGTGATGGGCGATGTTAATTTTTTGGCTGATTAATCGATTTTAAAATTGATCATGGATCGATTAATTTTTTTTTGGCCGATTTTCTCTTATTTTTGGGTAATTTTGAATTGGTCACTTTTTCTTGAACATGTTAATAATGGTAATTGTACTAAATATTTTTTTGAAATTGAATAGAATCAAGTGAATCAATTCACTCAACTGAATTATATTTTCCATCCCTACGAGGGAGAGCCAGAACAGGTCAAAACGCACCAGGTAGTAATTAAAAAAAAATTAACGCTTGTAAAATCGATTTTACAAAAAAATAGATTTTTTCATTTCGATGTAAATTGCCCATCACTAGACTTTCATTTAACAATAATAGATAATTTATTTACCGGATCCATTTCAAAATAAACAAGTTCACCACCACCGAGGGCAATTACAACTTGTCGTTGATTAGCTGCACACTTAACAATCTTCTTTTTTTCAGGGGCTTTCCAGTCGTGCATTCGTTTGTCGGAACGTATGTGGCGCACACCGTTAGGATATATCTGTACAACAGCATCATCACCTAATGGAGAACAAGATAGTGTTGGCGTAGTTCCTAAGAAACCTGAATCCGAAACTTCTTCCACAGTTTCTCCAATAGACAATACTAGAGTGGCATTCGAGAAAGACACAATGATATAGGCATCAAAATTTTCTGAAAGAATGAAAACAAAAAAAATTATAATAAAATATTAATTCAAATGTTGGTAGATGGATAAGTTTTGGATCAAAAAGGAAAACAAAATGTAAAACAATTTAACTATGATCTCTTAAGAAACAAAATAAAAAGTTGGCTAGTATTGAAAAAAGTTGATTTATCAGAAATATAAAAGAAAGGTTATTAAATATATTATATCATTAAATTATTCAAAAATCAGAATCAATACAGTAAAAACTTTTGGAGACTTGAAGTTGTATTTTATCAAAATAAGTTAAACTATGTTGTGATCAATAGTAGACAACTAGTTGATTGTTTAGTGTTGGAATGTCCAATATTAGGACTCATCCCATTAACATCAAGATGCTGAAACAGTGAAAATATTATACACCAGTATTTTCTTGTCAGTTTATAATTTATCTTACAACATAAATTAAGAAACTCGTTTTTCTTTAATTATTTCGGCTGAGGAAGTGTTCTTATTTTATAAATGGATTTCTTCAATCACTCCCGTCCAACTCTAAAACTTACCTATTTGATTCAGAGCCACTACGGTGATTCAATACCTGAAAAATAAACGAACTGATGTTTGATAGATTTTATAATCTATTCACCAGCGCATTAATATACGATTGGATTTTAAGATTTTATAAGAATATTCAAATATATGAGTGGACATTTTGGGAGGTTTTAAGATAATTTTTTATTAACCTAAGTACCTACCTAATTATAGATGAAAGATAAAGCAAACAAATTAAGTATTGGTACACCCTAATACTTAAATACATTAACTTTTTAAGTTTAAGTATAAAATTAAAAATAAATACTAATCCAAAGTTCTGTATACTATTTTGGGTTAAAAATTAATGTTTAAAATCTTACCATCCGCTCTTCTTTTTACGGTCCATACTGCATTTGGACTTCCAGGTAGTTCAGATACTGCCATTTCTGAAACTTCAAGCCCATGCCTTAAAACTCTTAAGGTAGATCTTGAACCTCGACCACAGGCCATATATAATTGTGGAGTATCTTCAGCAGCTAAAACACAATATCAATATCTGCATCAAATAATTGAAAAAAGTTCAAAACACATAACTTTAACTTTTCAAGTTTTCCAGAAGTAATCAAAAAAGTTAGTAATATGTGTGTTTAATATTTAAAGATTTTAATATCTTTAATCAGATCCGCAGATTAACACTGACATCATTTAACATTCAGTGAAATCGTGTATTTTATCATCATTTATAAGAAGGTATTTTTGAATAATGAAATAGTCTTTATTTCATAAGATAAACATATAAAATGTATCGAGTGTTTCCACACAACTAGTTTAAATCAACAACTAAGCTGTAGGATATTTAAAGGAATTTTTCTCCCAACCAATATTGAACTTTTAACCAAAATGATCAAAAATGGTAAGTTGTTGGCAATAAGTTTGATTTTGACATGTCAAATTGAAACTTCTAAATCAGATCCGCAGATTAACACTGACATCATATTTTAATATTCAGTGATATCGTGTATGTTATCATCATTTTTAAATTTTTAATAGTTATTACTATGAATATTAAAAAATTGCGTTTATTTTAGAACATAAAATTAAATATAAAAATGTATCGAGTGTTTCCACACAACTAGTTTAAACAACAACTAAGCTGTAGGATAGTTAAACGAATTTTTCTCCCAACCAATATTGAACTTTTAACCAAAATGATCAAAAATGGTAAGTTGTTGGTAATAAGTTTGATTTTGATATGTCAAATTGAAATTTCTAAATCAGATCCGCAGATTAACACTGACATCATATTTTAATATTCAGTAATATCGTGTATGTTATCATCATTTTTAAATTTTTAATAGTTATTACTATGAATATTAAAAAATTGCATTTATTTTAGAACATAAAATTAAATATAAAAATGTATCGAGTGTTTCCACACAACTAGTTTAAACAACAACTAAGCTGTAGGATAGTTAAACGAATTTTTCTCCCAACCAATATTGAACTTTTAACCAAAATGATCAAAAATGGTAAGTTGTTGGTATAAGTTTGATTTTGATATGTCAAATTGAAATTTCTAAATCAGATCCGCAGATTAACACTGACATCATATTTTAATATTCAGTGATATCGTGTATGTTATCATCATTTTTAAATTTTTAATAGTTATTACTATGAATATTGAAAAATTGCATTTATTTTAGAACATAAAATTAAATATAAAAATGTATCGAGTGTTTCCACACAACTAGTTTAAACAACAACTAAGCTGTAGGATAGTTAAACGAATTTTTCTCCCAACCAATATTGAACTTTTAACCAAAATGATCAAAAATGGTAAGTTGTTGGTATAAGTTTGATTTTGATATGTCAAATTGAAATTTCTAAATCAGATCCGCAGATTAACACTGACATCATATTTTAATATTCAGTGATATCGTATATGTTATCATCATTTTTAAATTTTTAATAGTTATTACTATGAATATTGAAAAATTGCATTTATTTTAGAACATAAAATTAAATATAAAAATGTATCGAGTGTTTCCACACAACTAGTTTAAACAACAACTAAGCTGTAGGATAGTTAAACGAATTTTTCTCCCAACCAATATTGAACTTTTAACCAAAATGATCAAAAATGGTAAGTTGTTGGTAATAAGTTTGATTTTGATATGTCAAATTGAAATTTCTAAATCAGATCCGCAGATTAACACTGACATCATATTTTAATATTCAGTGATATCGTGTATGTTATCATCATTTTTAAATTTTTAATAGGTATAAGTATGAATATTGAAAAACTGTCTTTATTCTAAGAGTTTTTCAACGTGTGATACACGTACCACTAAGAGTCCATCGAAAACTTAAAGAAGGTACGAAGAAAATTTCCCTTGATAAATAAAAATGTAATGGATCATTATTCATTATCTTCAGTAAATTTTATTTTATTTTTTTTTTTGGTATTAATAATAATATAAAAAACAATTGCACATACTAGTTTACAAGAATTAATTTCCATATATAAATATTATGTAAAATAATGCGTTCACTATTCATTTTTGATAAGCAAAAAAATAAAGGTTAAGTGGGTCTAGAAAATTGACAAACTGTGTAAGTGGTACGATGATATAAAAAGGTTGAGAACCGTTGTTCTAGAACATAACGATATAAAAATGTATCGAGTGTTTCCACACAACTAGTTTAATCAACAACTAAGCTGTAGGATAGTTAAACGAATTTTTCTCCCAACCAATATTGAACTTTTAACCAAAATGATCAAAAATGGTAAGTTGTTGGTAAATCAATTTATGTAGGAAAGTTTAAATAAGTCCCATCATATTAAGATAAGTATCCAATGTAATATCATTACCTAAATCAGCAACTTGACACGCCATAATAGGTGATAATGAATCCATTTCATCAACTAATACTAAATTTCTCAGTTGTCTTGGAGCAAAAAAAAATGTATCTCCTTCTTCGAGAGGCATTGCGGAACTGAACTCTGGCTCGTCGTCGTCATCACCCAAATTAGCAATCTGGTACAGGTAACTGTATAATTTTAAAATATTAATACTTGTTTGTTATTAATCAAGTTTCACAACTATAATACTTACTGGTTACCAAACTCTGATGCTACAAATAAAAACCCAGTTTTTAGAACACACATGGCAGAAGCTACCGGGACAGTATCGAAATACTTCAGTCTAATTTCTGTCACAAACTCTTCGTTGGTCTCTAATGTCACTTTGAAAACATCACCTTGTTCTGTCTGAACCAAGAAGAAAAACATAGATTTAGTCTTGTGTGTAGCACTACAAACTAGAATCATTCCTCTTTCGGGATCGTCCAAATCGTTCTAGAAATGTAAAATAACTTTATTATCATCAAATCAAATCAATAATCACATTTTTGTATAGGGTACTTATTTTCAACAAATACAGTAGATATTAGTTTAAATGTCACTGTTTATTGTCAGACAGTACAGAAAGAAATTATACTAAATAAAATCCAAACATTAAAGTATCATCTATTACTATAGCACTCAATTTACGACCGATGTGGGAAAAATACTCGCACATAAGAGATACCTATAGTGCATTAATATAATTCAATAGATATTATACTATGTATGTGGGATAATATGCATTGTTATCAGCCTTATTGTTATATTATATTAGTTTTATTGTTACTATTGTCAAGTTGTAGTCACAATATCACCATTCCATATGGTCTTAGAAAACCATGAAGTAGTGTACCGAGTAGTTTATCTTACATCCTAGTAATTTCATAGTATTTGATCTGCCTTAGTTAATGCTTGTTAAACACCTACAGCCAGTTTAAAATTATGCAACACACACAGTATTAACTTCAACATACATCATTTTTAAAATGGTGACCATTATAAGAAAATGTTAAATAACTAATAAACTAATACCACACCAGCATTTGTTGTCTCTATTTTATAATTGCATAACATACCAAATGTACGTTCAGCTGTTCAAGTAGTTTTAAAAAATTGTAGAAATTCAGTGAATTTAACCATCATATCAGAGTAACAATATTATTTGTTTTTTGTCACAGGTGTTATTCAATATTTTTATTCAAAAGCAAATTTGGACTAATATTAAAATTAACAAAACTGAAAGTGAACATTACTGTTATGCTCTTGTAAGATGTAGAAAATAAATGTTGGCGTGACGTCCTCTTAATATACTTATGTTACCTAAGTATTGTTAGATAGTACTAATAAGGAATTACATTCATATCAAATATAATCCAATAAAACATGTAGCACAATATTATATTATTGTAGCACTCATTAACGACCGGTGTGGGAAAAATACTCGCACACAAGAGATACCTATAGTGCACTAAAACAAAATAAAAATAACATTAAATTCAAAAAAAATCTATTTACACGTCTACGTGGAATTGGACATCGAATGTCTGGTTGATCTCCTTGATTTTTGTAGGTAATATAATTTTCTGAACATATTAGAACACCACCCGGTCCATCTTTATCACCAGGAACAGTAATAAGAGAATTAGCGTGTTCTTCTAAAGGTTCACTATATTTACGAACTACATGATTTAAACCAAAATCAACTTCATAAAATGTAAGAGTCTGCCTTGTAGTTTGTACAGCTTCTCCGGTTGGATCTGCATCAACTTCCTAGAAACATGAATAAAATTATGGTATTTATATTTTACTAATTTATTATGAAATCATGGGCCTTAAGATATTATATTATAGTAAGACCTAAGTTCAATCCTATTATTGTGAAATATGGAATAAACTTTATTTTCTTGAATCAATTTTAAATATTTATACTTTAATTAGCAATTTTTGTTATTTATCTTGGTATTAGTACTGAAAACGATGGTGAAGTTAGAAATGGTTATAGATACCTGAAGATTATATTTTAATAACTATTGTAGCTACCTTCTCTAATATTATACCCTAGATAACCAGAGTGCACAGTTCAAACTTTACTACAAACCTCAGGACACTTTGTATACTTATTTATAGTGACGCAATGTTATTCATAACAAATCGAGGCAGTGTGACTTAATTTTAAAAAAAGACCACCACAATTATCAGCAAACCAAAATACAGAAATTCTCTCCAAAAATTAGTTAAAAATATGGTTTTATACATTCTAACATTTTGTTTACCTCGTAGTCAATTTCAAGGCAGGCAAAAATTGGATTGTCAAAAGCTACATCAATTCCAACCATGTGGTACACGAGTGTGTTGCTTTTATTAGCTTCCAAAGGTGATGAAATTGTAAGCCGTGCTTCAGCATCTCTGTTAGGAATGTACACTAATTTTTGTTTTTCTACCGCACCTAGAGTAAATGTTTGAAAATTAGTAATAAATATTTATATATTTATAATTATTTAAGATATACCAATCATTATAGCTCTTCCTTTTGGATCAATGGCCAAATACTGTCCCGGAACAATTCGCCTGCATCCACTCTTTCCAAAAGTTTCTTGATGCACTTTATCTAAGACATTTTTTGAAGGTAGATATTCCAATATAACAATTCTTCCAGAATCAGAACCAACAACTATGTAATCTAAAGAATAATTTTACACATATTAGAACAAATTAAAATAAGCAAGTACTTCAATAAAAGGTTATTTTCAGTCAAAAATAAAATTGAAGAAAATTCTACAATCGCCTATATATATTTATTGAATTGGGGAATAAAGTGGCGTGTTGGAAACTACTCCGCGCCACGAGAGAACGCATCCAAATGACTGCACCCTGCTGTCTCGAGGCAAAATTTCCCCCACCATGCGACAGCTGGTCTGTGCATACAGTGGCTCAAGTAACACAATATAAACACGCACCGTGTTGATGATTTCTTGATCGCCGTTATCCATTTTGGTTTAAGAGTTAAAAAAGTAAAAACATATACGAGCGCGGAACAGCAAAACAGGACACGTTACAAAAGAATTAACAGCATTGAAAAAATGTTATTATTGTATTCGCAGTATATACAACTGTCAAGGAATATCAAAGCGTTCCGACAGGTTGTGATGTGAGAAAAAAAAACTCGTTTTGGTTGGCCGCTGAATGCGTTCTCTCGTGGCGAGGAGTACGAATGAGTCTTCTGTTTCTTTGGTTTGCTTGTTTTCAAGGTTATTCAAACATTTAGGCAAAACAACACGCCAAGTCTTAGGCCGGGTCCGCACATACTAAAAAGTAAGCAAAAAACTCAACTTTACTATCACAAACAGGACCATAATTTTATAGAAATAGTTTTGTTTTAATTTTGTTGTCTCTACATGGACCCGGCTTTATACCAAATAATTGAATATTGAAATAAATGTATGGAGTTAAGAACGAATTTATGCTGAAATATCCTAGCAAAAAAAATATCATGTTAAGGTGATTAAAACATAGTTAAAAACAGGATTTTACCTTTAGTACCGCCGGATTGCCTAAAACTCATCAAAGCACGAATAATTCCAAATACTTCTACAGTTAGCAATGTGTGGACTTTGCCAGTATTTGGATCAGGTCTCATTAGCTCTAAAGATTTTCCTCGAGAGACTAAAATTTCTTGTATTTTTCCTCCACTGAAATTTCCATGGATAGCGTGCGTAATGCCGCTACCCCGTTGCAATGTCATATTGTATAAATACATGATTAGGTATTTTTCTGGTCGGTTTATCTAGAATAAAAACAAGTAAATTAATGCAACACATTATGTCAAAAAACATAAGCTACCTAGTATGAACAAACTTTAAAATATTATAATATAATACCTACATCAATAGGTATCAGTATATTTTATCAAGTTATAATACTACAGCACCAAAATAATGATGAGAAAGTTTAAAAATAAGAAATGGATAGGTAGTTACTGTGAAAAGACACAATAGAAGTCGAAAACCGGGTTGACGTTTTGTTAGACTTTAGTCGGTTTTACGAAACACGCGCACGCGTACCGAGTCGTCACAAGCATATCATGGGCGGCGCATGCTGGCGTGCACACTGCACAGCTTGACTCTTAAGCAGTTCGGCGGGGCGGGTTAGGAGCGGCATAAATTGTAAAAACGATGTTTTAACCTCAAAAAAATACATATTCAAATTGTCTAATGAGGTAGCCGGTGATGGAGGGGAGGGTCGGAGGGAAAAGCCGGAATACACACTTATTTAACTCGAACTGCGGCCCGCGTTTTGTATAGCGGAAATAGATTGAAATGAAATATGGCAGTTGCCCTGTCTGAAATGTGAACAATGACTAATAAAACTTTTATATTACCTGTCGATGTGCCCGTCCTAGATTCTCTTCCGTTCACGCAGCAATCGCACTACGACGAACGAACGGCGAAGGTTTTTGGTAGCATTGTCGAGAACACGTCTGGCGAAAGCCGGACTGGCGGCCAGACACAGCGATCAATCGGCCGAGAAGTCGATTCTTCGGACGGGTCTAAACTCGATTGCTCGCCCGTTGACAACACGAAACGGCAGACTGCCGGCACATACGAACCATTTGCCTTTGCCGCGTTTGGTGACGAACACGCGCTATGTAATATGTATTGTACTAATAAGTAAAAACGAATAACTTCTATAGGTTCGTGCTCAAGTAGCAATCGCGACGCAACACGCAACGAGAATTTGCTACTTGAGAGTTGAGTACGAAAAAATTGAAATATAGTTATACAGACGTTATAATAGTATATCAAGATAGACGACGCGGCGAAGCCATTACGGCATTACCATTTGGCATTTAGTAATTACCAAATACCAGTTACCACAGTGCATCACCATTCACCACAACGTCGCGTGTGGTGGGCGGTCCGCGTGACAGTTATACCACATGCAACAAAATTAAATTTCTCTATCGTTTTGTTCCTACTGTGTCGATTTTATTCCCACGCATTTTCGAATATTCGAAATCTATCATGCTGTATTTATGAAGGGCGCGTAAAAAGTTGGAAAATTATTGGTTTGGACCCGTCTAATTGTGGATACCGATAAATGCCCTATCGGAAACACGTCATATTATTATTGGAACTGTATTTTTATTGATTCATATTTCTTTGGAATCTTAATCTTCGAAAAATATTTTTTCTGAATAATAATTATCTAGTATATAAGTTTACAAGTCAATAGGTCATAAGGGGATAGCACCCAGTGCCTGGTTTTTGACTCGATACTCAATATTTACTAACTGCTGAGTGAGTAAATGACTTACAGTTTATTTAAGATGTTATTCTCGCATTCAAACGACTGACAAATGGCGCTCCGCAGGTGCTATTGACACAAATGTTATAATACCTAGGTGACTACGAGTCATGCAGACGTTGCTCGTACTAGCTATCAAATATGTATAATACACCAGTATTATAATCGTTGTCTATAGATTCGACCACTACATAACTTTTACTTCAGACATCAGAACACAACCGAACTCAAAAGAAATAAAAAATCCATAACTGCTCGTGTAGTCATTAACAAAACAAATAATATAAAGTAACTAGGAATTACTATTGATCAGCATCTCAAATGAGATGCACACATAAAAAATACAATGATTAAACTACATAAATTACGTATTTTTACTGCTCCAAAAAGCTGTGACACAAAATAAATATAATTGTAAAACTTGTTAATTCATCTCTTTGCTCTGAATTTTAAACTAGAATGTTTTATATTTTTAACAATAAAATAAGGTGAATAAATGAATAACTATCAATAGATTCAATCGTATTTAATTTTATGAGTGATTATTAATCAATAGCAACCAGTGGCGTCTTGAGGCCGCTTTTTTGTGGCATTTGCCAATTCAACTTTTGGAAGTGGATAGGCAGGTGGTATAAGGATATATTTTAGAAATGGGTAACTAACTCACAATAAGAATATAAGATACAGATCTATTATGGATTTTTATAGGTTATAACTTATAACTTATAAGTATTAAACTATTTAGGTCAGTGGTATGTACTTGTACTATACACATTAAACCAACCATAACGTATAGGTATCTATATCTATATCTATATTATTATTATTATTGAAAAATGAATTTTGTGCTACGATTTTTATTCTAAAAAGTACAAATAAAAAATAAGAGACAACAATGAAAAAAAAAACAAATAAATTATACACCAAATTCCAAAGATTAATATGTTTTATTGAAAAAAACTTTTACATTAGAGATTTAAATTTTAAATACTGATGAGAATTAATTTCAATACTATATTGAGTACCCTAAAATTATGATTAATTTTAATCAAAATGAAATTAACTTTCATAATTTAAAATTAAAATAATATAAACTGAATTTCTTAATATTATATTTTTCAACATTTTGAAAATTATGGGTGGATGGGTGGATTTAATGGGTGCCTCTATGGTTCAAACAGTTGATAGTAATCACTATTTTAAAATTAGTATGATATAAAAAACTAGAAACTGGTACAATCGTTCACAATATTTTTTAGATTTAAAAAAATTATTAATTACTAATGTAGCTATTTAAAATAGAACAAATACTTAATATTTTTGCAAATTTGTGATACTATTTAAGATAAAATCTTATATTAAAATTTAGAACCAATCAAATTATAGTATTATAAAATAGTTACATTTTGTTTACTAAGATGATTCCAAACAAAATAAAACCATAGGTAGTTATTATATTTACTAAATCTGTTTTAACTTGTATGTAATAAATAACAATAAAAATGATTAATAATATAATATGAATTAGAAAGATCATTGATGGCAATATTTTTTTTTTAAAAATTAAGAGTAGTCTGGCCTCTTGCTCTTCCTCTAGCTCTGGTAGTAGCTCTAGAAGCTCTGCTACCTCGACCTCTTTTACCCCGGACGCTTTGAACACTACTTGTAGAAGTGTTATTACTAATTTCTTCATCATCTGAGTTTGCAGGTGAAATATTTGAATCATTGTCAGAATAATTTTGAGTTGTATGTTGCTGGGAACTTAATACTTCACGAACCTTAAATTAAAATAGTACTTAGTACCTATAATAATTCATTAATATTTATTAGTAAATTAACATCATACATCATTAGTTTCTTCTTTTGATTTTTGGGTGCGAGAACTATGATAACTAATAATGTGCTCTGATATGTTATTTTCGTTGAGACCTTCTTGTTTTATGACATAATTCTTCATTTTTTTCTTTTGGTGTCTGAAAATAATTTTGTTTTGTTTTGAAATACAAAAAATGTATATTATATTATTATACCATATGACTAAATCAAATATATAATAAAAACACTATTTGAAATAATGTCCTAGCGACCTAGCTAATTTTAAAATAACCATATTTTTTTTTAGACAATATAAATATATAATTTTAATAGCTTCAAGTACATTGTTACATGATCATTATTTATATATTATATTTTTTTATTTATTATATTTCAATCAGAAGAATACTATTTATACTAAAACAGTTTATTAAAATAAAACTTAGTGAGTTATAAAGAACCTAGGCCAGTGAGCGGCTTAACCAATGTCCAATATAAAAAAAAAATACTAATTTTTAATATTAATATTATAATCTGCAACCATTTATAAACAAATAAAATGTTCAATCTCTACCGTGAATCTTAAGTTTATTGTTCATTGTTTAAGCACCTCTAATTTATCTTTTTTCAGGTATCCTAAAAGGGGTATCCTATATCCTTCTCCAAGGTCTAATCCACAAACCAAATTTCATCAAAATCGGTTCAGCGGTTTAGTCGTGTAAACGTAACAGACAGTATTTAGCATTTATATATTAGTAAGGATAGGGACTTATATTTTATATTTTAATGTTATACATTTTACTTGCTAGTTGCAATTAATAATAGTAATATTTGTAAGTAAATCAACAATTTAAAGTAAACAGAGTACACATATATAATGAACTCATTGCAGCAGTTGTTGGTCCAGCCAAACTACCACCGACGGTTTCAATCAGAATATATAATGTTATTGTTGGATTTGGTTAAGGGGGCCAGAGAGAATAAGCCGCTTGATATAAATGGTATTGAAAATGGGTTGATTCAATTGTATGACGAAGTTATCCCATCACTGTGTCAGATCTTCCCTCAATATTTATTTACCAGAAACTGCCAACCACTAGTAAATACTATCATTCTGCATTATAATTGTTTTATATAATTTATACTCACTCTACAACTCGTTTTATTGCATCAGGACATGATTTATTTACAAGCCAATCAACTGCTTCAGCCATACCATCAACAGACAATAATTCTAGTTGATTTTCTTCGTTAGCAGTTCTAAAATATTGATCAACAATATGTTCAATTTTCTCCATCTAAATAAAAATTATTATAAATATTAAATTAAACGGAATTGAATAGGTTTACTATTAGGTCTGTAAGATTAATACTTCTTCATCGTCCATGATATTCGAAAGAACTTGATCATCAATGCACTTGGTTTTTTTCTGGACACTCTTTTTTTCCATTCTTAATAAAATCATATCATTAGAATTAGCAACACGGTCTTGAAATGCATGTCCAAACTGAATACCATTAAAATGTTGAGTTTCATTAGTATATTCAACTCGCAGTCGTATTAATGGTAATTTTGGTTGTTTGGTGTGACCTAAGAAAAATTATCAAATATTATTAATTTATAAAATTAAGATAGTTAATAGGTCAATAAAAATGTATTGAGACCGTTATCTTAGTAGCATTTAACATTTTATTAATTTATGCATAATATGACAGCTATGTTTGACAAAAAAAAATGTTCAGTGTGTTAACTTAAATTTCTGGTTGAGCCTAGACAAATTATAATGCCCTAATATTTGGACAGCGCACCTAATTTGTTTTTAACACCAACATACATATTGATGTATTAACCAATATATAGTTATTGTATTTGTATAAAGGTATAATGTTTATTTTTTAGAATAATAAAATGTATGTAGTGGTTAAGTTAGGTAGGTACACACAAATATTTTTGATTTTTTTATACATTCACTACAAACAAAATTTTCATGATCTCTACGAACATATTATTATAATATAAGCATTATAATAAAATATTTAAATATATACCCACATTTTACTATGCCCCTAAAAAGTTTCAGGTCGAGCCTGGGCTGGACCGGCTCGCCCCGTGCGCAAGCCTATGCATACATTATGTATCTAAATTCTAAAAAAAACATTTTATATAATACCGACAACAACCTGAATTGTTCTATGTATTTTTATTATTAAAAACATTTTTAAATATAAATATAGTTTAGTATAGTGTAAAAGATTTATACAATTTTGTGAATTGTATTAATGTATATTATTTAGTATATAAGTATATTTAATTTTTAATAAGATAACATTAGGCGATAAGCTGACAGTGAAATGCAATAGTAATATTAAATGATAAAAATGGAAAACTCGTGTGATGGGAAGATACATTTTGAGTGATTGATTTTGACCGGTAGTGGGTTATGCACGATTAACAATATTAGTTTTTATCAATTAAATATAAATTAATTATAAAAAAAAATAAAAAATAATTCAAATTTACCGCTATATTTAAGACTCAATCTTGATAAGAT